AGAAGAAGATACTAGTACCAGACACCACTATCCATAATTACTCAATGTATTGGAATCTTAATTACTTAAGGTATTGGAATCTTAAGAAGAAGAAGAAGAAGAAGAAGAAGAAGAAGAAGAAGAAGAAGAAGAAGAAGAAGAAGAAGAAGAAGAAGAAGAAGATACTAGTACCAGACACCACTATCCATAATTACTCAATGTATTGGAATCTTAATTACACCACTATCCATAATTACTCAATGTATTGGAATCTTAATTACACCACTATCCATAATTACTCAATGTATTGGAATCTTAATTACTTAAGGTATTGGAATCTTAAGAAGAAGAAGAAGAAGAAGAAGAAAAGAAAAAACCAGAGAAGACTCCATTAGGTTTTACTAACTTCAGAGAAAATTTTCAGCTGAAAAATACTAGTATCAAACACCAGTATCCATAATTACTCAATGTATTGGAATCTTAAGAAGAAGAAGAAGAAGAGAAAAAACCAGAGAAGACTCCATTAGGTTTTACTAACTTCAGAGAAAATTTTCAGCTGAAAAATAATAGTACTAGACACCACTATCCATAATTACTCAATGTATTGGAATCTTACAAGGAATGGTTACATAATGGACAGTGATCGGTACACATTTGGTTTAACATATTGTACAACACACTTATTAAAAAATTATTATTTGTTGATCTTAAATTAAAGACAGACAAGTTTAAAGATATAATCAAGCATCTAAGATGCAGGAACCAACTAAATCAATTATATTTAGATTATATTTTTAATGGTTAAACCAGAAGTGTGTTAGAAAATGTGTTGAACTGAGTGTTTACCAATTATTTTCCTTCGATAATACAGCCCCTGCAAGAACCTAAACCTGCAACCATCAGTAAGGATACTAGATATAAACACCTAAAAAAGAGAATAACACAAAGGATAATGATTCGTTTACACTCGACCGTACCACACTTCGTTACACACATTCTTTTTTCCGTTAGCTCCCACACTCCATTAGTCTCCATCCTCACCAAATCCATCTTCCTCCTCACCTCCATTCTCATCCTAATCATCTGTAGGAACCCAAGATCAAAATTGTCTTCTTCCTTCTTTTCCCTCTTCCTCCTTTCTTTTTCTTCTTCTTTTTCTCTCCTCCCCTATTCTTCCTTCTCTTCCCCCCTCTTGGAGAACCTATGGGTTCTCATGAAGAACCCAAATCTGGGTTCTTGAATGAAATTGGTGACAAATTCTGCTTGTGTGTGGTGTTGTTTTTCCTATGGACTGAATTTTCATGGTTTCAGGTTGAAAGAAAGCTAAGGAGACGATTTATTCAATCCATTCTCATCCTAATCATCTGCAGGAACCCAAGATCAAAACTGTCTTCTTCCTTCTTTTCCCTCCTCCTCCTTTCTTTTTCTTCTTCTTTCCTTTTTCTCCCCTCTTCTTCCTTCTCTTCTTCCCTCTTGGAGAACCCGTGGGTTCTCATGAAGAACCCAGATCTAGGTTCTCAAAGAACTCGATCTGGGTTCTCCAAGAGAACCCGAGAGAAAAAAAAAAGAAAAGAAAAGAAAAAAGGAAGAAGGTGTGGGTTCTCCAAGAGAACCCAAACCTGAGTTCTCTTGGAACCCGATGATGGAGGAGAGAGAGAAGAAAAAAAAAAAAAAGAAGAAGAAGAAAGAAAGAGGAAGAAGATAATGGATGAAGAGGATGGTAACAGAGTTAAGTGTAATTAATGAAAAACAACGGAAAGGGTTAGGTGTAATGGAGTGTGTGGATAAATTGGGTAAACGTATCATTACCCTAACACAAAACTATAAAAATTTCCAAATATCCAAGTACTTACCATATAGTGTTCAAGATTTTTCATCCTTCTTGTTGAAGATGTGTTGTTCGAGACAATTGAATCCAAGATATCACATTTGAAACTATGGTATATACCAC